AAAGTGCTGGGATTACAGGCGTGCGCCACCGCGCCCGGCCCCTTGCTTTTCTAAAGCCACATATATATATGTATCCCTAGATAATACAGTTTTACTGCTTGTTTCTGAACCTTATAAAAATGGTACACATTGAGTGTCCCTTATCCATAATGCCTGGGACCAGAGATTTTTGGATCTTGAATCTTTTTGGATTTTCGAACATTTGCATTGTACTTCCTGGTTGAGCATTCCAGATCCAAAAATCTGAAATCCCAAATGCTCCAATGAGTATTTCCTTTGAGTGTTGTGTCAGCTCTCAGAAAGATTTGGGGCCAGGCACAGTGGCTTACGCTTGTAATCCCAACACTTTGGGAGGCTGAGGCAGGTGGATCACGAGGTCAGGAGTTCAAGACCGGCCCGGCCAAGATGGTGAAACCGTGTCTCTACTAAAAATACAAAAATTAGCCGGGCGCAGTGGCAGGCACCCATAATCCCAGCTACTCGGGAGACTGAGGCAGGAGAATTGCTTGAATCCTGGCGGGGGCAGAGGTTGCAGTGAGCCAAGATCGCGCCACTGTACTCCAGCCTGGCGACAGAGTGAGACTCTGTCTCAGGAAAAAAAAAAAAAAAAAAGATTTGGATTTTGGGATCATTCAGATTTTAGATTTTTGTATGTGTGATGCTCGACTTGTATCATACTCTTTGAAGTCTTTTGTGACTTGCCTTTTTCATTCAACATTATGCTTCCAAGACCCATCTATGGTGGGAAAACTGGGCATTCATTCATATATTGTGGGAAGGTTCCATTGGAGGATCTTAATCAGAGTGATGAGTGATGAATATGATGAAATACACATTGTAGGAAGATCAATCTGGCAAGTTTTACCACTCTTTTGAATCTAAAACCAAAAAATCTGATGGCTCTTTTTAATTCTGATATAACTACAATCCTCCTCTGTGCTGATGAATACTCACCAAATCTTTTATTTACCCACTGAGCTTAACTGTCTTCTGTCCTTTTTATCGTAAAAACAATAGGCATGCCCACCGGGCATGGTGGCTCACTGCTGTAATCCCAACATTTTGGGAGGCTGAGGCGGGTGGATCACTTGAGGCCAGGAGTTCAAGACGAACCTGGCCAACATGGTGAAACCCCCTGTCTACTAAAAATACCAAAATTAGCCGGGCGTGGTGGTGCACGCCTGTAGTCCCAGCTACTCAGGAGGCTGAGGCAGGAGAATGGCCTGAACCCGGGAGGCAGAGCTCACAATGAGCCGAGATTGTGCTACTGCACTCCAGCCTGGGCAACAGAGCAAGACTTCGTCTCAGGAAAAAAAAAAAAAAGATAAACACAAATGCTCAGGGAATTTTCTCTGATGTCAGATGATCTTCAAACACAACATTTGTACAAATCCGGTGTCCAGTGCAATAGAGAAGAATTCAAAACCCTAAAAAAGATTTCTAGACATATTTATTTGCATTTTACAAGGGCACATGGAACTCTTGGGAATTAAACATGGGCTCATGAGTGCATTTTGATGCTTGGGGACAATAAGTAGAGTCTAGTGGCCAAGAGAGCCGGAACTTTGCAGTCAGAGATTGATATGGAGAGTTTTTGAACACTTATCATGCCAGGCTGTTTTGTGGACCCAGGCAGTGGTAAGCACAGATAGCGCTGTCCTTTCCTTCCCTCACGTGACTTTAGTGTGGAGACAGACCTGGGTTCCTATCTCAGTACTATCAAAGAAACTGAGAAGTCATTTGAAAAGTTTATTTTACTTATTGGAACCCCCGTTTCCTCAGCTGTACAATGAAGACAGTAAGAATACTTATGTCACAAGGTCAGTGTGATAATTTAATGAGACGTGCTCCTAAAGTTTTCAGCACAGACAACACACTTGGAGAGTGACAGAGATCATTAATTCCCTGAACTGCTTTCCCAGTGTGACCTAAATGGAAGGTGTGGGTTAGTAGCTTCTGATTCCTGGTAGAGAGACCCTTTTAGCTGTGATAGCCACAGTCAATGACCCTGGAGGTAGTGGACACTAGAGGAGATAATTCACACTGGTTCTGACTATCCGGTATCTCTTCATGCTCTGTTAGCTCCAGACCCCACCCATTTTCGGATAGGTACTGGCACTGCCCATTATGAAGCCAACCAGAACCAAGCAGTTCCCATTTTTCCTTCTCTCTGTTCCTTTTCTATGTGTGGCTTTTCTTCTTTCCTATTTGTTTATGTATGTATGTATGTATGTATGTATGTATGTATGTATGTATGTATGTGATGCAGTCTCCCTCCGTTGCCCAGGCTGGAGTGCAGTAGCGTGATCTCGGCTTACCGCAACCTCCGCCTCCAGGGTTCAAGTGATTCTGCCTCAGCCTCCAGACTAGCTGGGATTACAGGCAGCCGCCACCACGCTCAGCTAATTTTTGTATTTTTAGTAGAGATGGGGTTTCGCCATGTTGCGCAGGCTGGTCTCGAACTCCTGACCTCAGGTGATCTGCCTGTCTTGGCCTCCCAAAGTGCTAGGATTACAGGCGTGAGCCACAGCTCCTGGCTTTATTCTCCTTTAAAAGGTACTTTTTACAGCCGTGCATGGTGGCTCATGCCTATAATCCCAGCACTTTGGGAAGCTGAGGTGGGAGGATCACTTGAGCCCAGAAAGTCGAGACTGCAATAAGCCATGATCACCCCATTGCACTTCAGCCTGGGCAGCAGAGTGAGAGCCTGTCACAAAAACAAAAGCAAAACAAAACAAAAAACACAAAAACCTGACCATATAACTCAAGCTGCCTGTTTATGTTTTCCCCATCCTACCCAGAGGTAATGCCATTACCTTGAATGCTGTGTGTACTATCCCTGTCTCTTATACACATCTAGATGTGTATAAGAGACAGCCTGTAGTCCCAGCTACTCAGGAGGCTGAGGCAGGAGAATCGCTTGAACCTGGGAGGTGGAGGTTGCAGTGAGCTGAGATCGCGCCACTGCACTTCAGCCTGAATGACAAAGTGAGACTCTGTCTCAAAAAAAAAAAGAAAATGAGGCTGTCTCAAAAAAAAGAAAAAAAAAGAAATAAAAATAAAAATAATAAAAAAATAGGTACGCTAAGTGTAAAGTCATGATATTGTATAGGCATTTTAAAATGTGCAGTACTCTCTCCCTTACCCTCAGTGTTCTTCCATGCATCCTGCATTGATCAGCGGTCAGGAACTGTCAGCCATGGGGGGGGTGTGTGTGTGTGTATGTGTGTGTGTATCTGTCTGTCTGTCCCTCTGTGTCTCTCTGCCCCCCCCCCCGCCCAAGTGTGTTTTAGAGTTCTTATAAAATTATAATTTTCCTCTTCCTTCAAAAAATGGTAGGATCTTGTTCCATGGGGTCCAGTTGCCTGGAGATTCCAGTTGCCCGGAGCTTAAATAACCCTTGTTTGGCAGCATGGCTGGGCTCCTACTTGACCGCTTTTATTCATGCTACTTGTCAGTCTCCCTCAGGGTTCCTTAGGCTGTCCTCCAGTACCTCTGCTCTGGGGCAGTGAGGAAGAAGACTGGGAAGAGACCCAGCCTTCATTCCCAGGTAGCATCCTTGCATATGAAATATGAACTAGTCTCTCACCATCATGGTGAGGTGGAAAATTTCTTGCATGTTCTCACTGAGGAGTCGGCTAGATTCTGTCTGCCTTCTCCCCTGATTGAACTTCCAAGCCTCTGGAGGCAGGGGGCCAAATGCCTGGTCTTGGCCTCCCTGTCCCTCTGGGCAGACAGTTCTAAGCTCTTGTGGTTTTCCTCTTGGGAGTTTCTCACTACTTTCCCTTTTTTCTCCCCCTCTTCTTAGCCTTGCATCATCAAGATTAAAAACTTTTTTGATGCAGAAGATTATTATATTGTTTTGGAATTGTAAGTAGTAAACTTTTTACAACTTTCTGTTCCCATTCAAATGCTTATAAAGCCACCAAAGAATCTAATGTAGGCTTACCTTTCTCATCCTCGGGGACCTCAATGTATGTACGTAGTAGTGGGGCTCACAAAGTCTGTGTGTAGGGAGTTAATGTCAACCCTAAAAACCCTCCAATGTTTCCAAAGATAGGTGGTTGGGACTCCAGGTCCTGGATCTGTGACCTGGGCTTGAACGCCACTCTGCAGTTGACTAGCTGACCACCCATGGGTGAGTTTATGTCACCTCTCTGAGTCTCGTCTTCCTAGTGTTAAATGGGGATTATAATGAGCCCCCACATGCAGAGTCCTTGTATGAATTAGATGCTTTGAGGGATGGAAATCCCCCAGCAGAGCACCTGGCACATGTGTGTACTCACCATGGGGCAATATTGTTATAATTGGCTCACCATAACTGTGGGTTTCCACATCCGTGTATTCAACCAACCTCAGATCGAAAATACTTAGGAAAATAAAATGGATGGTTGTATCTGTACCAAACATGAACAGACATTTTTCTTGTTATTTTCTAAACAGTACTGTAGAACCACTATTTACATAACATTTACATTGTATTAGGTTTCGTAATTAGTTTAGAGATTATTTAAAGTATCCAGGGCCGGGCACGGTGGCTCATGCCTGTAGTCTCAGCACTTTGGGAGGCCGAGTTGGGTGGATCACCTGAGGTCAGGAGTTCGAGACCAGCCTGGCCAACATGGTGAAACCCGGTCTCTACTAAAAAATACAAAAATTAGCTGGGCATAGTGTCACACACCTGTTATCTCAGCTACTCAGGAGGCTGAAGCAGGAGAATCGCTTGAACCCGGAAGGCAGAGGTTGCAGTGAGCTGAGATTGTGCCACTGCACTCCAGCTTGGGCAATGGGAGTGAGACTCTGCCTCAAAAAAAAAAAAAAAAAAAAAAAAAGTAGATGGGATGATATACATAGATTATATGCAAATCTTATGCCATGTTATATAAAGGGCTTGAGCATCATGAATTTTGGTATCTGAGAGGGCTCCTGGAACCAATTCCCCCTAGATACTGAGGGACGACTCTACTGTGAAATATCTACCTGGGTAGGCCTTTCTACGCAGGTCCTTTCAACCCAGGACCAGGTTGCATGGTGGCTTCTGAGTATCTCTCAGTGTTTTGGTAGTTTATTTCAGTGGCGATAATGTCTTGTGTTATTTGGTGTAATCAGAATAACTTCCTGTCTCATTTCTGCAAGATAGCTGTCTTGATATCTGCTCCTGCATAAATATTAAGTGTTTCTAGGAGCAGCTATTGTGGCAGGCACAGAATGCTTTGCTCCTAGTTGGCAAATGGTATCTATGCAGGGTGATCATTAAGACATATAGAAAACAGGTTGGGTGTGGTGGCTCACACCTGGAATCCCAGCACTTTGGGAGGCTGAGGTGGGCGGATCCCTTGAGGCCAGGAGTTGAAGACCAGCCTGGCCAACATGGCAAAACCCCCTCTCTAATAAAAATACAAAAATTAGCCAGGCATGGTGGCACATGCCTGTAGTCCCAGCTCCTCGGGTGGCTGAGGCATGGAGAATCACTTGAACCTGGGAGGCAGAGGTTGTAGTGAGCTGTGATGGACAGAGCAAGACTGTCTCAAAAAACATATGAAAAAAGACTATATGGTAAACAACACCCCTGGTCACAGCACTAGGAGAGCCTGCAGCCCCTTGTGGATCTTAAAGGAATATCTACTGCTATCAAATAGGAGATTGTTACCTGACTGAATCTAGTTAACACAGTTTAATAAAAGTGATAAGACAGGGCTGGGTGCAGTGGTTCACGCCTGTAATCCCAGCACTTTGAAAAGGCTGAGGTGGGCAGATCACCTGAGGTCAGAAGTTCGAGACCAGCCTGACCAACATGGAGAGACCCTGGCTCTACTAAAAATACAAAATTAGCCAGGCATAGTGGGGAATGCCTGTAATCCTAGATACTCAGGAGGCTGAGGCAGGAGAATCGCTTGAACCCGGGAGGTGGAGGTTGCGATGACCAAGATCGTGCCATTACACTCCAGCCTGGGCAACAAGAGTGAAACTCCATCTAAAAATAAATAAATAAATAAATAAAAGAATAACCTTGCCAAGCACCAGTGCCAGGAGCTTTTCCTACATCAGTTATGTCTTAATTTTTATAACAACCATCAAGGTAGATGGTATCATCCCCATTTTTTAAGTGGTAGAAACAAACTCAGACAGGTTAAATAGCTTGCCCAAAGTCCAAAATCTGGGAAATGGTAGAGTTGGGGTTCAGATCCTGGTTGTCTGTTTGTAAATTTCTGTTTGCTCTTGTACATCAGTCTCAGAATCATCTGTGGTGTGTGATAAAAATGCAAACTCCTGACTGGGTGCAGTGGCTTATACCTGTAATCCCAGCACTTTTCGGAGGGCAAAGTGGGCAGATCACTTGAGGCCAGGAGTTTGAGACCAACCTGGCCAACATGGCAAAACCTTGTCTCTCTACTAAAAAAAATAACAAAAATTAGCTGGGCTTGGTGGCGCATACCTATAATCCCAGCTACTTGGGAGGCTAAGGCATGAGAATCACTTGAACCTGGAAAGTGGAGGTTGCAGTGAGCCAAGATTGCACCACTGCGCTCCAGCCTGGGTGACAGAGCAAATGTCTCAAAAAACCCCAAAAAACCAAAAGCAACTCCTGGGCCCCACTTCCAAGCTACTGAATCGGATTTTTTAAAGTTCCCCAAGTGCCTCCAATGCCCACTTCTTTCATCTCGTTCCTTAGTTTCCAACTGGCACATCTGATTGTGAATAAGGCTTATTACCTCATTAGTTTTAAAAATGGGAGTCAAAAGTGAATAAAAATGTCAACTGTTTGCTTGTCTTAATGAATTTGTTTTGTTTGTTTTATTATCTTCTGTCCAAGTGCATTTCCCCCCAGGGAATGAATCCCTTTCCTTGCCTTTGTGTTTCAGGATGGAAGGGGGAGAGCTGTTTGACAAAGTGGTGGGGAATAAACGCCTGAAAGAAGCTACCTGCAAGCTCTATTTTTACCAGATGCTCTTGGCTGTACAGGTAAGAGAAGCCCTCAATTATTTTGACAGATGACTTTCTTTTAGTTGAATTACTCCCTGAATTAGGCAGAAATTGAGGGACCATCGATTAAAACTCAGAAGAGAGGCCGGGCTTGGTGGCTCAAGCCTGTAATCCTAGCACTTCGGGAGTCCAAGATGGGCGGATCACGAGGTCAGGAGATTGAGACCATCCTGGCTAATATGGTGAAACCCCGTCTCTAATAAAAAAAAAAAATACAAAAAACTAGCCGGGCTGGTGGCCGGCGCCTGTAGTCCCAGCTACTCGGGAGGCTGAGGCAGGAGAATGGCGTAAACCCGGGAGGCGGAGCTTGCAGTGAGCTGAGATCTGGCCA